TTCGAGATGGTGCTAACCCCAATTTGATTTATCAGACCATCCAGCCAATGGACACCACAACACTTCAAAATTCAATATCAATTCAACAAAAATAGATAAAAATAATTGGAAAGAAGTTTTAGAATTTTTAAAATCAGCTCTATCTACTGTTAAAAGAAATTATGCAAATATCTCAATTTTTGGGTAGGTCCAACACCATGTTTTTACTATATAGAAACTCTAACTACTAAGACAAGTTAATATTTTTCTTTCATTCCTCTTATTCATGCAGATATTTCTTCATTTATTCTTTCATCATCATGCTTTGATGTGTGAGTAAACAGCTTTTCTTAATGATTTTATAATAACTTATTTTATTACTGTTTCAATGTGATTTACAATAACTCTCTTTATTATTATCCCAATGTCTGTTTTTTATTTCTTAATAACAGTGTATTAGTTCTGACAGCAACTGACTTCTTAATGTAATTTATGATAATTCACTTCATTACCATTTCAATATCTGTTTTTCATCTCTTAACAGTGGTTTATTAGCTCTGACAGCAATCAACTTCTCAATGTAATTTACAATAATTCACTTTATTATCATCTCAATATCTGTTTTTCATCTCTTGACAGCAGTGTATTAGCTCTGACAGCAACTGACTTTCAATATTCAATATTCTAATAATTGACATTTAATTATTCAATATTCAACATTCTGATATTCAGCTTGATTATAATCTGTAAAGATATTCTTTCAATAATTTGCTCTAATCTCTTTTATCTTGCTTCAATTTTCTTTATCCAATGAAGAACTCCTCTCACAGAAAGATTGGGAGAAGCAATTCTAATATAAGTAATAAATGTTAGAGTTTGTTTCACTAACTAATCTATACTCTATTTGACAAGAAGAATTACTTAAGAAAAGAAAGAAAAAGAGAAAGAGAATGATGTCAAAGTGTGTGTGCTCTTATGAAAGTAAGAATAGACTAGTGAATCTTGATTGAAAATCTAATTAATTAAATACATCAGCTGTTAGTAAGCACTGTTGAGAGCTGTCAAGTATGATTGAAAGATTGCTGAGTTGTCAAGCTTAATGATTCATTAAGAGTTTTCTATCAGACATCAGTCTGTCACATATTATACATAACATATGATTCTGACAACTCTCTCAAGTCTTTCTTCTTCTATTAAAGACAAGTTTACTCAATCTATCTGACAGACTCTCAATCTGAGATCTTTAAGAATAAAGTCTGATCTAGTAGAAGAGAATGTGATTTCAGCACTATCTATCATATAGTATTGTATATTTCTTTTCTAGTCTAGTCTCTATCAGACATAGACTCTTGTCTACAAAGTCTGATGATCTTCAATATCTACTGACATTGAGCTCACTGTTGTACATATATATGAATAGTCTAATTCTTTCTTTAATATAGAGAAATCAATGCACCTTTCATTCTCATATCACACACTGTTAAAAAGAATTATGCAAATATCTCAGTTTTTGGGTGGGCCCAACACAATGTTTTTACTATATTGAGTAAAGTAAAAGAATGTTTAGTATTATAATATAATCTTAAATTAAACACAATAATAGAAGAAGAAAAATCTAATAAATTACTATATTAGATAGATTTAATTGAAAATACTAAATATAATGAAGAAAAGAAAAGTCTGAAGTAATTGTAATATATATTTTTTTATTCTGAGCTCTTGTTCTAACTTTATCAACAGCAGTAATCTGAAGAGTTTGATGATCATATAACTTCAAGTCTGATGCTTCTTTACCACTTCACATCAGATTCTAACACATTATGATTAAGCATTACTATTTCAAAGATATAAGCAGGAGATTATCTTGCTCACTTGAAAGAGAGTAAGTGATTTATTTACTATTTTTTTTACTAGAATTTATTCTACAAGCTATAAATTATTATATACATTTGATTATACATTTGATTATACATCATGACTATTTAATTCAATAGCAATAATCTCTATCTAGCTTCTAGCTAGCTGCTAGTTATTAGTGCTCTCATAGTTCTTTTCAGTTATTAAGAAGATGTTGAGTCTCTGACTACAGTCAAGCTAGTTGTTTCTAAGATATAGAAATACAAAAATTTGAGTGAGGTGTTCAAAACCTTTAAACTAGTACTGTATATGACTAGCATGATGAGGTTCCACCACCATACATGATTAAGAGCATTCTATTCTCATCTCCCTGATTCTCTATAATATTATTTTCTTGTTGGGTTTGTTGTTGATGAGCATATACAATTGATCATTATTCCATCACACTACTCCCACACTTACCAAGACATGTATATTATGGGAGAGTGCCTTCCCACAATTTGCTGACTTCAGTGGTTATAGGGTTTAAACTTGCTGAATGTACTTCTGTAAGAATTACATTATGGCTACTCAGTCAAGGGTAATGATACTGGAGGTCAAAACACTCTATAGTATCAGTGGTGGGTATCAACTTTAACAAGAGTCAAAGTCTGAAATAGGTAGTCATCAAAGCAAGTCTATCGGAAAGGTAATCAAAATGAGAAAGCTAAGGCAACATACTTGACGCCAGGTCCATAAAGAAGAAAGGGAACAGGGTATCACTTAACGGGAAACGGGATATGAACTTGATACAATTCTAGAACGTGCTCCAGCTCCAATCTCTTGGGACACTTGTCGCAATAGTGCTTTCCTGATGCTCCGATGGCGGAGGCAGAAAGCTCGCGTCAATGACACTAGCATGATCAGAGTCCGTTTCCTTGGATACCACCGACGATGCACCATCACTTTTATTCCGCTCGATCTGTGACGCTAGGTCCCGTTGGATCTGGTTAAGCTGATCAATTCGAGTTTGGTCCCAGCGGGTGTAAGCGCTCCAACAAAGGTCACATGCCCGAGATGCAATGCCATCGGGGTGGAAACGCGCGTTTTGGTCGAGCGGGATGGTATGGGGAGTGTGGGATGCACAAAACACATGGCCACAGTGACGGCAGTGATGGCGGCGATTGAACAGGCCGAAGAACGATTTGCAAACGGGGGAATCACAAGATGGGGAAGAAGAATCGGCCTATGGAGACATATCCAGGTTAGAGATTCGGCACAAGATAAAAGGAGAATGAGAACGATATTTGAGACAAAAGGACTCGCGCGGAATGGCAAGTCTAACCTTCCAATGCTCTCTTGTCGGCGAGCCTGTCACGATCCCCAAATTCTGTTCTTTCAGCCATTCGTCCTCGGCCAATTTGCTGACCTCGCTTCGAAAACTCTCGACGGTTGATTGGCGTGAAAGCTGAGGTGGCCCTCGAGTATGAGTGTCATCGGAAACGTCGTGGACGCTTCGTGGAGGGGTTAAAGGAGTGGACCGAGAGGGGCGTTCGGTTGGTCGCAACACTGCGGGCACGTAGAGAGGGGATTTCAACGGCCGCAGCTGTTTGGACTGGCACGAGACATGGTGCAGTTGCGAATGGTGGAGGCGAGGGGATGTGGGAGAATTGTTGGCGGGAGTGACAGACGCAGAATTAAGCGGTGATGGATTGCCAGGCAGGGAAGTCTGGCCTGCAGTGTTGGTCTTGGAGCTCTGCATGCTGACTCGTGAGGGATTTCCAACAACGCGAGAGTGTAGTTAACGAGGGGACAAGGGGATTTCGGCTGTGGTGAGGAGAGGTGTTGATCGAAACCGCGATGGAGATGTCGAGGGCAATGAACCTGAGTGGTGAGCGGTGACCAAGCGAGTACAGAACAGAACAAAACAGAAACAGGCGGGAAGGCGGAAAGTAACTAAAATGGGTTGCGGAGGGTCTTGGCACGGGGGATCCATGTAACGGTGCGGTACCAGAATCCCGCGAATTGATTGGCTGGCCGCGGCGAGTGGCGGAGCCTTGGTTCAGCCCGTCTACAGCCTACGATTGGACGGAACGGGGCGGTGAGCACGGGACCTCCACTCGGATCGCGGGTTTTGGGGAAGCTTTGAGATCGCAAGGCTCAATCTTCACCGCAGCTGATAAGTTATTCGCTATCTAGAAATCTCCTGCGTGCATTCCGTGCCCGTTGCCGGGTGAATGCATCCAGTTTGACTGCAACCAGGACAATCTCCACTCCCCCCATGACTACATCATTGTTGGCTTGAACCATCATCCTCCAATGTCCCTTGCGGACAATCCACTCGTTGCTTCGATCCACACTATCAGCCCGTTTGCGCTTTCGAGGCGGACCGGCCGGTAATCCACCAGACATGTTGTGTATTGTCCGCTCTAGCCTCGTGTGAGAGTTAGGTAGTCCACCCCCAAACTGATCCGCCTCCTCTCTGGAGTGTAAGTTAGATGGCTTAGCATCCTCGGTGGAGCTGATCTCTGATCCTGGGAAGGTTCGTGCCGCGCTTTGCCGCCTGTTATTCAACGCCCATAGGTCTTCTCCAGGAGAAGGGCGTGAAGCTATATCGCCGCCAGAATAGCACCCCTGGGGCTCAAAGGGCTGACCATCAAGAACAATGTCCGCCTCAGGGTCAAGTCTCATTCTAACGCCGTCTAGGCTCAAACTGCTGCTCCCAGGAGTAGTTGACCGGCTATCGGTCCCGCCGCTCCTTGCCAGAAACCCACGCGACGCGCCCCCCGAGATATCTGTCTTTTTAGAGATGACTTGTAAAAGGCTTGAAATTCTCGCTTTTGTAATGCCAAAAAAATCAGCACGTTCTGAGTCCAAGTGAACTTTCGTGCTCTCTCCGCCAATCTCAATTATCAACTCATAATGTTCGTCGTCGACGAACGGTCGGGCGTACTGTACCCAGCCACTAGGCGGTGCCGTGGATTCCGGGTAAGTAGCATCCATGGCAACTCGAACCCCGGATGGGCGGATATCCTCTAGGCGAATCACAATCTCGGGTCGCTGTCGCTCCAGGTTGTAGCTGATATGGTGCGCGATTAGCTTTTGTTCCAATCCCCGCAGATGGAAATAACGACAGTCACGCAAAAGCTCTGCTCGATGCTCTTCATTTCGGACATGGATGGGATATCCACGAAGCAGATGAAGCAACTCCGCAAATACCTCGCCCGATCGATTGCTTACAATTGGAGGCGTTATCGAAGGAGGACGAAGCAAACCCTGACGCTCTAATCCAGGGAAAACTTCCCCCGGGGATGCAAAGAACACAGCAAAGCCTAAAGTAAAGAAATTGGGCGAGTCGCCAGGGCTGGAGAATATGTCACGGGGGATCTCGAAGTGCCGGTCCCCGATCTGAATGAAAATTTCACACTCAAAAAGTTGGGAGATTAAACGTGGCACTACTGAGAAGTTAGCGACCCAGACTATGTAGACGTGACTGTGGGTTGGTCTAACAGCTATAAAACTGAGCATCGGCAAAAAGTTTAACAAAATGCGAATTATCCCGTGGGCGAATGTAATAGCCTGCCGAGTTGCCAATATCAGCCGCATTGAATTCAGAATATTCGTGACGGCGCTCACTCTGGGCATGGACGGTTCATACCTTGCAGATGTTTCAAGATATCTCGAAAGGTGTCTGGATCACGGTCTATATACAATGTTTTTATGGTGGAATTCGCGCTATTCTGCCGCATTTGCTCCTCGAAAAATTGAGAAAAGTAAGAGGGTGCTCTAAGATTGTCAATATGGTTAAGAAAAAAAGGGAAGGGGAAGAACGTTGCATTCCGGGGCGATTGAATTGATCAATCACTGGCGAAGCCTAACTAACCATCCGAAGCGATAGATGCGCCAGATAGCCTGAACAACTCGGAGCCAATTTGAATTGGAAACACCTTTTCAGGTGGAAGGGTTGATGGAGGACCCTGGGTTTGTGTAGGATAGCCCGGCAAAGCAGAGGAAGACATGACTATGGCAGCAGCACCTGGCTGCTTAACCTCCCTGTAGCCTTATTAAACGAGGAGAATCTGCCCTGGATGTGTGAAGCAAAGGTAATCCAATACCACTTGCTGGATGGCATACAATGCAGGACCGTGAACCTCCTTGATAGGATGTTAATCATTCTGGAGCATGGTAGTGTCGCTTGAATATGTTCTGGTTTGATAGAACGCGGTTGGAAGAAGCGCCGATGCGCTTAGTCAGCGTTGACTCGAGATTATTATATTTGATAGAATACGAAGATAACACGGATTTCGATAGGAATGAAGATTTGCCTTGTTGCCTAGCCATTAAACTAACTACTCTGTTCATATTCAACTAATAACTTCATTGCCAATCTGGGTTATTGTAAATGAGACATCCCCCCAGTTACAGCCTGGGCAACGGAGAAGCACTCCAACCCGTTGATTCGACCTTGGCGGTAGCTTGTTTAAACGCATCTCTTGCCCTCAAGCCATTCAAATACGCTGTCAATTTTGGGTAGGTCTTTGGATTGAGGACACCACTTGCCTCCTCTACCTCCAGCGCATAAACGATGAGGATATCTGCGCCTGACAGCTGCTCGCCACAGATATAGCGCCCTCCCCCAGGCGACGACGCGATTTGTCCTTCGAGGAAGTCCATATGAGTTCTCAAATTAGGGCCGAGGTAGGCCTCGTGGACCTTGGCGGAGATCATCCGTGTCACGGGTTTGATGAAAAACGGCACTGGTGCGTTGCGGATATCTGCGTTTTATCAGGCTGAGTTCGGGGGCACTGGGGGGGGAAGATACCTACTCGTAAGAACAGCCTCAAGCTGAAGGAATGGCATCAAACTACCTTCAACATAATGCATAAAGTACTGTTGTCTCATCCAAGACTCTGATTCCCCGCCGACCGAATGCTCACTGCCGGAGGGGAACCTTTCGTAGCGTGTAATGGTGTCTTTGGTCCCAAAGCAATCGATCAGATAATCCACTATAACACCAGATTCCGCCAGAACGACAGGGTTTGAGGCGCCTGCAGTCTCGACCGTGACCACTGGGGATTTCCCCAAAGGATGGATCTCCTTTAGCTTTGCATCTGCCTGCATATCCTTCATTCGTTTGAACATCTTGAGCTCGTAGGGAAGTTTCAACTCCTCCAACAGCCAGATGATCCGCTGAGCGCGGGAATTCTCGAGCCTACGATCCAGGAATTAGACAAGACCAGAGTGTTTGAACAAGAATAGAGCCATGCGCACCAGTAGAGTGTTATTTTTGGGTTGTGATTGGAAGCCATGATGGACAGGAGCTCTGAAGTGTCTTGACAAGCAGGTAAAGATGCAACAGGTTCCTCCAGTTTATGCTCTGCTGAAACAGCCTGTTGGCATGTTGATTATTAACTAGTTAACTAGTTAGTTCTCAACCTCGGCCCTGGTGATGGTGAGAACAATCCACCCATTTGTTGTCAATTCAGTGACTCCCACCTCGCCAGCTCTGCAATAGCTACTCCATAGTCAGTTGCCATGAGAAGCCCAAGTCTCATGCCCCAGGGTTCTTGGATGCTGCTGCTATCATCTCAATATGCCATCATTGACAGGGTTGCATGCAGTCCATCACATGTCACAACCTTGCAGCTCGTAGGTAGCCTCAATGATCTCCCCAGTACGGAGTAACAAAATAACAAAAACAAGCTCAAGTACAGGCTCCAGATTTCTTCCTATCGATCCTCTAGCTACCTCTTTTTGCAGGGCTCCATCCAGATACTAGCCTGCATAAATACCATAGTTAGGACAATATTCTCTAATACGCTCATTTACAGAGTATGCGGCTCGGTCCTTGCCCACCCCCAACAAGTTACCAATTCTCTGTTCAGATACAAGTATTTTCGGTGGACCCCCGGCATGGGCCTTATTCTGCTCTCTGCCCGCTCCGGCTGCCGGGATCACTGGTTATAACTATGGCCTACGGGATCAATTCGAGCGGTATTCTATGCTGGCAAAACAAGGTGGGCCACCGAACTACCTTGCCATTGTTTCCCGTGGCAAGTAACTAAAGTGAAACGGTGAAGCGGTACGCGTTCAAGAGGGTAGATGGAGTGCTGGGCTCAATGTACCGTACGGCAGGCCTCGATATGCCTTTCCCGACAATGAGTACTGCCAAATGATAGACCAGTTTCCTTCCAGTCATGCAGTTCACTTTCCTGCATTCGCATTTTTGTGCCAATGGATCCGTTCCGGCCTCCAAAAGTGAGGATCTGCCTATGAGGTTGGGTAGTCAATCAATTTGTCCGTTTCGTAACCCTACAAACCATTCCCGAGAAAAATAGGACTCCACCATCGCACTATGTCAATACGGTCTCCCTCGACTTCTTGTATGCCCTCGACCATAGCCCCTACCACCACCTTCTGGAAGGCGTTCTCCTCGTCTCCATTCACCACTGGGAAAACCTGCTGGTCCACCACCCCGTCCCATCCCAGCCCCCTGGTGTCTCGATCTCCCAAACCCGTTTTCCCTCGCAGGTGGAAATGCACGCATACTCCCCCCAATGGCTGAGCTCCCGGTCAATAGCGCCCTTGATGAAATTGGCGGCGCGACAGATCCATCCGGGAGCGGAGGTAAGATAGCGCATTCAACGTAGTCGCCGATGATGAAGCGCACATCTTGAAGTGTCCGATCCGCATCTTCGCCCTGCAGCTTGATATTGGTTTCCATTGCCGCCGACGAGGGGCCATCCTCTTTTACTGCCATGTCCACCTTCGGGCCTATAATCACACTTCCAATATCTTTACTAAGAAATCTTCCCCTCACATCGTCGGCACCCGGCGCGCCGGGCCCACCAAAACCACCCATCTGGCCCTTCGTGTCGGGATAAACGAGTCGAAAGGTAAGCCGCGTTCCAACGGCAGGATCTGGCAGCAGCGTCGGGAGGCATGATGTGAGGAGATGCGCCAGTTCGCGCAAGGAGCAAGAGTACCAAGTGTAGATCTGGAGGTGCGGAGGAAGTGGGTTCGCGGGTGCAGGCGCGCCGCTATTGCCAAACGATGAAGGGACGGGGTAATCGGAGAGATGATGGAAGGAATTTTGGCGGTAGAATAGTTTCAAATGGAAGGGCGTGGTGGTTTGACGATCAACCGTGGGCGCGTTGGGCTCCGCGCTGGACGCCATGACGCCCTTGGGAAGGACTGAGCAACTATCGAGTCAAATGCCGTGCGTGTAGCTAACAAGGAGACAACAAGGATCGTCATCAAAATCTGTCCATCTTCAAAGGCGGCTTGTTGGGGCTATCAGGAAGCAGCTTTGGACTGTTATGATGGGGAAGGGAGCAGTACCAAATTTTGGAGGCGTCGAGGCGCCGCTCTGAGCTAACTAGCGACTAGTAACGCCAGAGAACAAGGACCAACCCGTCCAAACAGCTGTTGTCAGTCTTGATATGATCAAGACCTCGTGGTATGGAGGGTATCTTCAGCTTGAAATCAATTAACTATTATATGTAACTACTCCGTAAGAGCAGAGTAACCACAAGTTCTATACTACGGTTGGATTTGGACTATTCAGAGTCCGTACAAGTGGACAAGTCCCTCTAATATCACAGTGGTTGCATGGGTACAGGCAATATTTTGCTTCAGAGAACCACACCTATTTCAACCATGGAAACAAAATGTTCCACCAGCTTCTACCTCCTAGCCTCGTAAAACTAGGAAACCTGGGTGACTGGGCAGCAAGGGTGTTCTCGTAGTCGCCCTCCCGCCTATTGTTCTTGTGATCATTATGGCCATCAAGCCCGTTCATGATGTTGTCAGGCCGAGATTTGTGTCTTGGGTCCCTATTTTGGGAAGATATCGGAGCCTGTTTGCGGTAAATAGCACGAGATACGAGCTTTCCAGCCACATACACGCATGCCCCGTACGCGAAACGAATCAGGGAATCACCAGTTAGACTCCCAATAATGAAGATATCCTTGGCAATTTCCAGGTCCGTCAGAGCGGCTCCACGCAGGGTTGACGCAGATATCAAACCCGTATCAATGGCTTCTTGCCCTGTATGGCCGACAATTTCCCGTCTGATGGCGTTGGAGAGGTATTCCAATGAACCTTGTCGGCCTACTGCGTAGGCCAACCCGGATATTTCACGCCGAACAACTGTACCGTCTTCTAGCTGCAATGTGGCAAACGCCCCCTCATCGTTGACTTCCGCGTCGACGACACACGCGTTGGGTAGGCCTTCGTATATAGCGGACCACTCCCGGCTTTTTAAAAATGGAGTCAACGTAGCGGGGCGAAACCACGGTCGCGGACGATGATCAGTGGATCGCTCTGCAACGGCAGAGGCACTTCTCTTCATGAGTCGATATATGCCAGCATACTCCGGATATGCTTGTTGGTGGCAGCCTTTTAGCGGCGAAGGCCGACTATTATCCCATTTGAAAACATGAATAATCTTTTCGTCGCTAGGGGCCGAAATGATAATATCCGCAGCGGAGAAACCCGATCCAATCACCAAAAGGGGGGCCCCGACAGCAGTTGGCTTAGGTTTCGCAATCGATGTTTTCAGCAAGGGGCGGAGGAGTGGCCCAGCAGGTTTGGGTTGTGTGAATATGCCTGATGCCAGGACGAGATATCTGCATTTGAGGTTGTGTGATGCGATATAAAACCCGCCAGGTACGCGGGTTACATTCCCAACAGTCTCCGCTGATTTTATGCTGTCGGATATCCCGACTGCCGCCGGGTACGCAGCAAAATAGTCAGCGATCTCTCTTCTTGATGGTCTCGTGAACGCGGGAAGTGCAGACCCGAAATGTTCACGATGATATTCCCCGAAGCTGTATCCTGGTAAAGACAGCATCCCGGCGTAGCTGAGCGACTGGATATCCCAGTTTGTCCACTTGGGACATTCGGTCCACTGGCCCCCCGGGTACGGGGCGTCACCGAGGACCAGATGAGAGACGGCCGTTTCGGGCATATGACGCCAGCGAATGCAGGTATTCATTTCCGCATCTTCCGTGTCTGCATTGGGACGTACGAGGGAGTCCAGAAGGGAATTGACTGGGAGGGCTTGAGTCGAATACGGAAAGCGGGAGGCCTCGAAGTGATCGGTGAGCAAGTCAATGTCCAGGTCCAGGAGTTGTGGCGCATCCTTCAGCTTCTCATGAAGGATTGGGTCCGGATGAGGTGTGTGGGGGTTATAAAACGGAATGTTGCCATGGAGGATGTACGACAGCAGAAGCGCTGAAGGCCCGTTACCTGGCAGCCGCACAGAACGAGTCAGCCGTGACCGGATTCAAAGTGCGTCAACTCACCAACAATGACCACGTCCACGGACGGCGTGTCAGGTGTGGTCGCAGCCATTGATTCCTGTTCCCGGCTTGGCTCACATATTCTAGAGAAAAGAGCCTGGGGTGGGAAGAAGGGGAATGCAATCTCTTGGGCAAGACAAAATCTCAAGAGGAACCGGATTGCTGGCAGCAGGGCGAGCAGCCGCCATACCATCAGGGAGGGAAAATCGGAGGAACAGTGGACGAAAAGATGGACGACGGGCGAGGTCTGGGGCATGTGGGGTTCGCCGCCATCCTCTTTTCGAAGTGGGAGGGCCGACAGCTCAGGGACGGGACGGCCAGCGCAGGACAGTGAGAGGGAGGGATGCTGCCTGTATCTAGTTATCGCTATGGGGTTTCAGCTGCGCACATCTCCCGACGCCTCTGGTTCTCTTGCTGCCACTCGGTCAACCAGCGACGGCGACGTGATAACCAGCTTTGGGCTGCTGACAAATTGACTTGTTCGTAAGTAACAACGGATTAGTTATGCTGACTAAGCGTGTTCGCTGTGTGTTTCTGCTGCCGCCGTCCAGCTGCTTTCCTCCAAGCGACAGCATGAAAGCCGCAGGCCAACCGAAGATTCACTGCCACGGCTGGCCCCTAAGCTGCACCAATTAACCATTAGCGTGACCGGTGCTGCCTTTCGACTGTCCTGCGCCGTGCGGATATGCGGTTGCAAGCACCGTTGCCATGACCCCTTCGCCAGACCAACAAGAATGTACCATCTTGCAAAATCTCTCTATTTCTATGCGACGAGTAAAGAAGGTATCTGCTTCCTGCCGACTGGGGCCCCTCTCCCTTCAGCAATGATCTAACGGAAGCTAGAATACTCCGTTCTCCTCCTCGGGCTGGACAACGCGGGAAAGACCACTCTGCTCAACCAAATAAAGGCCATTTACCTCCCGACAGCCACCTCCGACGATGAGACGCGCAAATCAGACGTGGGGCGAACGGTGCCAACCGTTGGCCAAAATGTGGCCACGATCCCCTTGCCGGACATGTACCTGAAAATCTGGGACGTTGGCGGCCAGATTTCCATGCGCGGCCTCTGGCAAAGCTACTATTCCAGCTGCCATGCCATCATTTTTGTTGTTGATAGCGCAGACGTGGGGGATGACGCCGATGTTTCACGGCTAGGATCATCAAACTACACGCCGTCGCTGGAACATTCCACCCAAGCGTCCGACGGCCCGCTGAAACCCATTGATCCCTCGAGCGATTTTGGTCGACTAGATGAGTGTCGACAGGTCCTCGAGTCAGTCCTTCAGCACTCCGACGCCGCGGGTGTCCCCGTCTTGATTTTGGCAAACAAGCAGGATCGAGAGGATTGTGTCGAAGTTGTCCGGATCAAAGAAGGTTTCGTGCGCAAGGTGTTCGAGGGCGAAGAAGGTGGCGGTGTGCGAGATAGCAGAGTCCTGCCTGTTAGCGCACTGATTGGGGCCGGCGTACGGGAAGCAGTGGAATGGGTCCGGAGCCGCGTCAAATGGAACAAGGACTCACGGCCTCCTATCATGCGATAGCATCTCTAGTCCTTGCTCCCGGTTAATGTCGGTCCTGCCTGCGAGACGGTTTAATTCTATTTTGATATCCTTTATGCTACAGGATCTTGGTCTAATTGAAAATCTTTCAACAGCCCGTACTTCCCTTGCCTCTACTTCTTTCGTATTGCCTTCTAAGACCAAATGCAGATGGAGCAATTCCCTGTGGTCCTAATTTTCAGAAAGACCTTGTCCGCTGATCTTAAATGCCGCTTTAAAATCATCACTAATTAGTCGCAAATTCCGTCAAGTTAATTGGGGGTGATTAGTCGCTATTTTTGCGTAGAAAAGAGCATTATGATCATCGCAGTGCTTGTCCATGTTTGGAGTAACAAAAATGGCAAACAATGTCCATGCACTTGTGGAACGTCCTGGGCCACAGTGGCCCAGAAAGTAGACATCATTCGGATGTTGTAGCTGGTGTAGTTAGAGCAGCGTCCAGCTTGGGATGACGGCGGCAGTGCTGGTACTGCGCAAATATTCTTTCGAGTTTCGAATGGGCCAACACCACTTTCGCTCCGTTTAGTCCCCGGCACCATGCTAAGACTTGTGAGGGTAGGAAAGCCTCTGTTTCCACTTGGCTGGTTCAAGTTTCAAATGTATTGCTGTGGCCCTGTGCTCGTCGGATCCAAGCTCTCTAGGACTTCCCAAGCATTTGAGTCCATAAACTTGCCGCTTCTGCCCCCCTCCACTCCATATGCACAGGGTCTTCTCTCCCAAGGGACTATCGCATATGGCAGACAGCGGGGTTCCAGTGGTATTGCTACAAAGCGCAGAACGTTGGGGCAATCCATGGATATATAAACCACAACGCCAAAGCATTGCAAAAGTCCTAAGATTTCCCTCGATCACGATGGATTTGTAGTCGGAGACTTGTCCCGCTAGACAGGAGTCGCTCATCCCGGTGCTGTCGGTCATTCTCGTATGTCGGCTTCTTTGGCCAATCTCGAGCAATGTCAATGTTGTTCCGCGGCCTCCAAAACTCAAGAAACACGTAAAGCAAGAAATCTATAACAACACAAAGACAAAACAGTTTCCCGGCCCAGATCCCACAGCCGTAGTACCTCTTCAGGCGATCGATAAGCGCAAAACTATGTTCTCTGCCCCGAGCTCCAGTCCAACTTTCCCCGGGAAGGTAGCCGTAAAACTCTTCTTCGCTGATTGCACCACATATTCCGTTGTAGACACGTTCGGTACGCCGAGCCACGTCCGTCCACGAATACATCGTCCGGACCTGGTCGTGGAACCGATCGGTGCGAACCCTATTCGAGCGCAAGGCCGCTATCGCCTTCCCGGTTGCTTGAACAAGGTCATCCTCCTCGGGTTTAGCAAAAGTGGTCATGTGTTGTGGCAGGACCTCTGGGATTCCTCCAACTCGTGTGCAAACCACGTATAGGCCGCAACTAGCGGCTTCAACAATTACGGTTCCAAACGCTTCCGTCAAGCTTGGATGAAGATATATGTGGCCCCGGACCATGACATCTCGGACCTCCTCATGACGAATCGGACCTAGCAATTCCACCTTATCCTGGAGCACATTGCGTTCCAGCATCTGCTCAAGGTCAATGGCCTTTGGGCCGCTTCCTGCGATGATAAATCGAACATTGGGGTGGGCGGCAAGGATTCTAGGGATCGCCGCGATCAAAAGGTCAGTCCCTTTGTTGTAAAAAAGCCGCGAGACGACGACGATTGTTATTGTGTCATCGGGGCCTAGGAGTCGCGGCGCGGACTTGAGAGGCTGATTCGCTTTGTTGTCCCAGCGTTCGAGGTAATGAAGTGGGCGGAAGTTTTCAGGGACCAACGCATTCGGGACAACCGATACCATCAATGGATCCAACGAGGCTCTGAGTACTGTGTTCTCCTTGCTAAAGACCCGGTTAGTACCCTAGACTGAACAAAGTTCTTCCTGGCTCACCAAGTATGGCTAACGCATATTACATGGTCTACATCGCTCAAAGTGAACTTCAAAAGTTTATTCGTAAGAATCGACCCTGCGTCCGCAAATCCGAAGAGTGAATGGTCCGTGAAAACAGTCCGCAGCCCCATCGTCCTAGCATGTAAGATTGCCTCGTGGCAGAAGCTGCTCAGACTCTGGTGGGCATGAACTATCTCTATCCGCTCGCGGATGACGATATTGCGAAACATGGGAGAGAAGGAAAACACGGTGGGCATGGTGGATTCGCGGTATATTACGAAAAATGGAACATGGTAGACCTTCAGCCCGTTGGTCAAATAGCGCACCCCGGTCCGACCTTTGTAAGCGTGGGTGACGATGATGACTTTATGACCTCGATCAATCAATTTCTGACGACTTGGTAAGCTGGGAGCTCCGAACGCTGCGTCACTGGCTCGGCTTCCGGCTCACCGTCGAGAGTTGATATATATGACTTTCCACCCCCCCTACACCAAGGTGTTAGCAGAAGCGCGCTGAGCGACCAAGCGAGGTTTGTATCATACCCGGCTGGGGGAAGAAAAAGTCACTTATCATGCTAGAGGCCTGTCAGCCGCCTTGTGCGAACCAAGGCATCTTCAAAGATGTATTTCACTCACGCAATATTGTACGGCATTTTGGCCGCTGGTCCTCGCTAGTCGAGCGCATAACCTGAACATAGGCAGAGACAGGGATTATGTGCCGGTTCAATGTAGATTCATGGCAGGCCAGGTTGACGGGAGAGCAACGGAGCAAGAGGAAGGAATTGAGTGAGGTGACGAGTAGTTAACCTGGTGAGTTGACTAGTTACGGAGTACGGCGCAGGAAGATCAAAGCGGTGAGCTTTCTGCCAGCCCAGAGATTTCAACCGCAAGATCAAACAGAACCGTCGATATCGACCTTGCAACCTCAGTCCCTGCCGATCCGGCCGGCCACGCCTTTTGCAAACATGTCGGCTCCCTTTTACTCCCGCTACATACCTCCCAGCTCGCTCTCTTCTACGCCAGTCACGTCCCCGAAGCGGAAAAAAGCAGCTCAGGATGCACCAGCGTGGCCCGCAGCCGAGACGACACACGCACGGACTAAGGCGACCAAGGACGACTCCATTGCAAGTCGTCCAACCAGTTCGACCAGCCGTTCGGATCAGAATCCCGTTCCTGAAAAGAAGACGAGTAAGAGTACCGGCAAGATTCGCGGCATACAAAGTCCAAACTCGCCGCCAGCGGGACCCAGGCTCAATGAACTTCCTGAGAACTCGAAGCAAGATTCGGTCGGCCAGGATGACAAAACAAACCAGGGAGTATGCAAATCTCGTCCGGCAGATGAAAGCTCTTCGCCTTTGATAAGTTCTGGAAGCCGCCCTTCCCCTCAGCATACGGAGCCGATCTCACAGCACCTCAAGCGGAAGCGCAAGCCTGCCGACGAGCCAGATACCGGAGATTCAGCTCTGCCTACGAAACACGCCAAAATTATATCTAAATACGAAAAATACACCGCGAAAGCCCCAATTGCCGCCGATGCTAGAAGCCCCGATGCCAGCGAAAGGCCGATCGGATCACACGAGGAGACTCCTGTGTACGGTCTCTCGCCTTTACCCCAGCCGGCTCCTGCACCCGAATCGTCTCGATCGCCTTCCTACGCTACACTTCCAGAATGGCTAGCCCATCCGCTTATCGTCTCTTCCGATGCTGGCCGACCCTTTACCGACCTTGGCCTTCACTCCAAGCAAATATCTGCCCTCGCCAGCCAAGGATATTCCCAAGCAATGCCGGTTCAATCGGCGGTTATTCCACTCGCTTTGAACGGAAAACATGATGGAGATATATGTATTTCCGCCGCCACCGGATCAGGGAAAACTCTTTCCTACGTCTTGCCGCTCATTTCAACCATTGAACCTTTTCCGGTCGGCCAATTACGCGCTTTAATAGTCGTCCCAACCCGTGAACTTGTAAAGCAGGTGCGCAAAACCTGTGATCTTTTCGTTCCTGGCACTGGCCTCCGAATTGGGACTGCCGTAGGATCTACTGCTTTAAGATCTGAACAGTCCCTCCTGACGGACCTCGATCAGGCTTACGATCCGCGTTTCCTGGAAAATAACTCCAATATTTTCACAAGTAACAGCGACTGGGCAAATTTTAATCTTCAGGATTACATCTCTGAATCAAAGGAGCTCCACGATGCTCTCCCCAATCATCTCTCTACACCTTTCGCCAATGTTGATATCCTTGTATGTACTCCGGGACGGCTAGTAGATCATATTCGATCCACAAAGGGATTTGTTTTAAAATATCTACAGTGGGTAGTTATTGATGAGGCCGACAGGTTACTAAACGAAAGTTTTCAGGAGTGGGCAAGCACTGTTATCCCGGCCATCGAATCCAAATCCAGTTACACCACAAGCATTCCTCTGAATGCTGAGGGTTCCTCTGTTGGACACCGCTCCCCTCGAAAAATAATATTGAGCGCCACTATGACAAAAGATGTTAGCAAGCTGAATTCGCTACGCTTGCGCAACCCCAAGTTTCTGGAGGTCCACGCTACAAGTAACGAAAAAATATCGTCACAAGGGACAATAGGAAACACGCAGTCAGAATGCTACCAGCTCCCTACAACATTAAACGAGATAATTGTGCCTGTTGGAGACGGCTCAGATAAGCCTCTCGTTCTGCTCGAATTGATGATTTCTTTTCTGAATTGTGCGACCTCAACATCAACTCCGGTTCCGACCAAGCCTGCCAAGTACCACAGATCATCTTCAGAATCCAGCGATTCATTCGACAACGACCTTTCTTGCACATCGCCCATGGGACGAGAGCTCAATTCCCACCACAATGTGACATGCAATTCCAAACCGACAACAATGTGGCCTTCTGCATTAATATTTACCAAGTCATCGGAGAATGCAGGCCGGTTAGGCCGTCTTTTGACGCTCGTTAACCCAGATCTTGCCGACAAAATTGGAGTTTTAGTTAAATCTAACAAATCAAACGCAGCCCGAAAGACCCTAGCCGCATACCAGCAAGGGAAAGTTCGGATCATCATTGCTACCGATCGAGCTTCCAGGGGGCTTGATCTTCCATTCTTAGAACATGTCATTAGTTATGATATTCCTTTAAGTGCAACTAGTTATATTCACCGTGTCGGGCGAACGGCTCGCGCTGGACAGCAAGGGACGGCATGGTCCCTTGTCACCCACAATGAAGGGCGATGGTTCTCAAATGAGATCATCAAGGGCATATCCGATACTGCTCACCGGTCAATCAAAAGAACTGTTATCAAACCCTCGACCGATTCCGCCTTGCAGAACGGATATGCATCCGCACTCAAGAAGCTTGAGGAAGAAGTTCTTGCAAGTGGTCAGAAAGTAGAAGCAGTTCTCAACACATAACCTTCCTGCCAGCTACCTCATACATGTCAAGTGGCAATTTAACTCTTCAGCTGATTGTGAACATAGTCCAAGCTCAGATCTAGAATGAATTCAGAGTATGTCATGTTGAGGATTTGGTATAAAGATTCAACTCATGGACATTCCATAAATAAAAAAACTTATTTCAGGGGGCTTGATGATTTCCAAATTCATGTTTCTAACTACCTCACACTGCAACCTTATGCTAACTCTCCAAGATCATCTCCTTGTCTTGTAGTTAATTATACAGATAGAAGTCTAAACCCAAGCTTTCCTATTTTTATCTGGCATCTCTCACACATTGATGTAACCAGACCCCCAGCCCATAGTTTATCTTGGTATCAGGCAATGATTATAACTACAGTCACAAGAGATCTTATTCCCTGTCTGGTTATTGACCTAGCGATACCCGATAGCAACCTTGGAGACAGGAGTTATAGAAACCAGCCAGCTTCATGAGTATGAAGACACAGCAATTTAGCATCAAATTGATTTAAGTGGCATTCACTTTCAAAAGGACAGAAAAAACAAATATGAGAGTATGTAGATGAAGTAATCATTAATGGGCTTCTTGGGCGTTTAAAAGGCAGGGCATAATACGGAAATGTGCCTTGAAGTTGGCTACTTGGTGTATTCTGTATGCATTAATAAAAAGAACCATACAACACATATTCTGACCATTAAAACCCATTGAGGTATTACTACATCAGAAACATAAAGGCGCTTGAACTGACGAATTGGTTTCAAGGAATATTAGTAGACCACAGAACAAATCATTATATATTACTAAACCTAGAGCAACCTCATAAATAAAGCCAATCCCGCCGCATTCGCTAAAACGGATACCCATGGCAGGGGCCTAACGGCCATAGCAGCCCCTGGGAATTGCTCAGGTGGCATGGAGCTTGGCCCTGGAAGCCCTCCACTGGGTTGGCTCGAGCTTGACATTGGTGGGGATGGCTGCGACGGTTGCATCGAAGGAGCTGGTTGTTCAGACTCCGAAGGCTGCACAGATATAGTACTTTCGGTGGTTGTTGTAGGGGGTGAATCTGTTACGGAAGAGGTACCAGAAGGCGGAGGTGTGTTAGAAGGAGCGGCGGTAATGGAATCAGAGGAAGAGGCAGAGGTAGAGGTAGAGGTAGAGGTAGAGGTAGAGGTAGAGGTAGAGGTAGAGGTAGAGGCAGAGGTAGAAGACGCCCCAGGTCGCCTGAAAAGTTGTTGTTGGAGGGAGTT